AATATTTTCATATTAAAACATGCACCAAATCAACAAAACCGAGGACAAAAAAAAATGAAGAACATAAATTAAAAAACAAAGGAAAAACAGAAAAAAAAACGTGGAAAACAGAAAAACAAAAAAACAAAATAAAAAAAAGGGGAATAATAGAAAAAAAAAAAAAGAAAAACGTGGAAAACAGAAAAACAGAAAAAAAAAAAAAAAGGGAAAAACAGAAAAAAAAAAAAAAAAAAAGTGGGGAATAACAGAAAAAAAAAGATAAACGTGGAAAACACAAAAACAAAATAAAAAAAGGGAAAAACAGAAAAAAAAAAAAAAAAAAAAAACCTGGAAAATGGACATCCGCCCAGAAATTTCGGAAGTACTTCTGCCTGAAATTTCTGGAAGTTCCCTTGGACTTTCGGAATTTCTGGGCGGATGTCCATTTTCCAGAATTTTTTTTTTCAAAATTCAAAAATTTAAAACAAAAAAAAAAAACTCACCGGCTCGCCGCCGCTAAACCTGGGCACCGGCCGGGTTGGCCCGCGTGCCGCCCGGCACGGCCCGCCGTTCGGCGCAGCCCGGCACGGCCCGAAGTCAAGCACGGCACGGCACGAAGTTCAACTTCCGTGCCACGGGCCGTGCCACGGACACGGTTGAGAATTCCCAGGCACGGCCCGACACGAGCACGGGCATGGCCCGCAGGCACGACCCGCAGGCACGGCCCGCAGGCACGGCCTGCAGGCACGACCCGTAGGCACGGCCCGCGGACCAACGACTATAAAACGGCTAGTTTTTTGCCAAAAATTCTATAAATACTCACCTCCATTTCATTCCCAAATCACAAAATCACAATATCTTCTTCTTATCTCTTATATTCTCTAAATCTCTAATAATCCTTATTTTCTTAAATTCTCTAATTATTCTCTTAAATTCTCTAATTATTTTCCTAATATCGGAAAAAATTAAAAAGTTCGTAATCGTAATTAGTGGAGCGTTGAAGCACGGTTGTAAGATCTAAACTAATCTTAAATTTATTATTGTTTTATTGTTATTATTAGAATAATCTTGTTTAATTATTATTGTTGTTAATTGTTATTGTTGTTGTTATAATTGTTGTTATTAATTATTATTATTGTTACAATTGTTGTTATTATTTATTTTTGTTGTTATTGTTATTAATTAATATTATTGATATTTTTATTGTTAAAATTGTTGTTATTAATTATTATTATTATAGTTAACCACTTTTTATTAAAAAATTAATTGTTAATTATGGCATCGAACAACCCATCATCTAGGTCTAGGGGGAAAGGCCGACTTATCCGTAGTAGTAGTTCTAGGGAACCACCAAATACAACGAGCCCCCAAATTACGAGTCAAACCAATGACCTCATTTACTTCCCCCCGGGCTATGAGCCATATAATACGTCGGGATTTCCAGCACCACCACTAAACCAATTTCCACTACCACCATACCAATTTCCACCTAATTATATCGGTAATCAACAAAACTATTGTTCTAGCCAAGGTAGCCAAGAAAGTACCCGAATTCCCTCCGGTTCTACCCCTTCTACTGCCACTCCCACTAGTCCCACTACTAACCATCACACACATCATGAATGGTTAACCGAAACTGAGATGCTACTTTTGAAAAACCGAAGGAGTGAGGTATGGCGTTATTTTGTCCTAAGTAAAGATGGTGAACAATGGGAAAAATGTAAAACATGTAATAGTGTATTCACGGCAGTTACCAAAAACGGGACGGGACACTTATCTAGACACATGAAAGCTTGTGCAAAACCAGCTAGTGATCCAACCCAGCCCAAAATTTCCCAATTCCATCCATACGGCTTTACATACAACTATGAGAGGGATAGGGATGAACTAGGAAAAATGATAGTACACGCCGAACAACCTTTTCTTTTCTCGGAAAGTGACGCATTCAACACCTACATTAACAAAGCACTACAATCCCAACATAAAAGAATCTCTAGGAAAACCGTTCGTTCCGCCGCAATGAAAAATTTCCTAGAGTACAAAGTCCGGTTACAAGCCGAATTGAGTAACCTTAACTGTAGAGTATCTTTAACAGCCGATTCTTGGGATAGTGGTTATAAATATCACTATTTATGTGTGACTTGCCATTGGGTAGATGATCAATGGATGTTACAAAAAAGAATAATACATTTCAAAATGCTGGAATACCCACACACCGGCATTAACATTGCTCACCATTTAATGCAAGCAATAGACGAATACAACCTTCGAGATAAAATGATGTCTATGACTTTTGATAATGCAACCTCTATGACATACACAGCTAATCTTATCAAACAAAACTTAACCGATGTACTATTAGACGGTGAAGCTCTTCATACTAGATGTGTTTTCCATGTACTTAACTTATGTGTACAGGATGGAGTTCGGGCAATTGGCCCATACTACAGCAAAATCAGAGATGCTATTATGTCTATTAATAGCTCTAACATGAGATACCAAGAATGGAAGAGTTTTCTAAAACAACAAAAGATAAGGGTAATAAAAATTAGAACCGATTGCCCAACTAGGTGGAATTCCACCTATGACATGTTAACAAAGGCAATTGAGTACAAGGGCCCGTTAACATTATTTTACAACCAAAAATTTCCACAAAATGCTTTGTATGATGATGATTGGAAAAACTGTGAAAGATATATGCAATTTTTACAGTTATTATATAACATGACGTATTGTTTTTCTACTGTTTACAATCCTTGTGCTCAAAACTTTCTTTCTAATGCATGCTTACTCGCCCAACTTTTCGCTGATCATCGCGATCAAAGTGATTATGATCAGTATCTTCCAGCAATGGAAAAAAAGTGGCGTAAATATTATAGTGAGATTCCTTTGATTTATATTTTTGCTTCCATATTAGATCCTAGGCAAAAGTATGAAAACACATTTATGTTAGTTGACATTTACTTTCAATGCATGTTTCTTGACGATGATGTAGAAAACTATAAGACTAATGTGAAGGATCAGTTTTTTGCTTTATATAGTCTATGAAGCCAAATATGGCACCGTTCCTCGCTCAGGGCCTTCCCAACCATCCAAAAACGTAAGTAAGAAGGCCAAACATTTATTTTCACAAGCTACTAACTTGATTTCAAGGTTTTCAGGTGATTCATCAATCAGGAGAACGCAAAGCGACGTCTCGGAGTTGCAGATGTACCTGAGTTACGACTTCACCAAAGGCATGGACGACGATGAGATAAACAACCTCGACCTCCTTGCATGGTGGAAACAACAAAGCTCGAAGCATCCAACTTTGGCGGCAATGGCACGAGACATTCTTGCTATCCAAGTTTCCTCCGTCGCCTCCGAACGAGCTTTCAGCGCATCCGGAAGGGTTTTAGACGATAGAAGAACAAGTCTAAAACCCGAAACACTAGAAATGTGCGTGTGTTTCAAAGATTGGTTGGATGCGGAAAATCGCTCACAAGACCGTTCTTACGACCACAACGACAACGAAGAAGGAACCTCCGCTTCCGGTTCGGGTTCGGCTAGTTCCCAATCTATGCAACTAGCCGATGACCTTGAAGGCGAAGGCGAAGACGAAGACGAAGACGAAGACGAGCAAGAAGAAGGAGAAGAAGAATAGACAATTATTGTATATTGTACGATTTTAAAAATATCAATTTTATCATTTTCCAATTTTTGTTTAATACCATCATTGTATGATTTTTATCATTGTTATCATTGTACAATTTTCTCAACTCAAGTAATAATAATATAAAGTACGCATTATTCACATCCAAAGTCCAATTTGCCTTTTTTCCCCGTTTTGTTACAATTTGTAAATTCATATTAAAAAAAATAAAATTATACCAATTACTAATAAATCATAAACATTAAATTTTAAAGTAATAGTATAAAGTAAATATATAAATATAAATATTGAATATACAAATTATAAAACATAAATATTCAACTTATAATTATAAAATTCATAACTTAATAACTTATAACTTATAAGTTATAAACTTATAAGTTACCTTATAAAACTTATAATTATAATTTTATAACTTATATACATTATAAACTTATTAATTTATAATGTTGTCATTAAAAAAAAAAAAAAAAAAAAAAAAAAAAAAAAATGAAAACTGCACCAGCCCGCAGGCCGGCACGTGGCCGGCACGGCACGAGCCCGCCAGGCACGAGGGCCGTGCCGTGGGCTGGCCTGTGAATATGGCCGGCACGGCACGGCACGGCACGAACCAGCCCGTGGCCCGCCAGGCACGGCCCGCGGCGGCCCGGCACGGCACGGTGCCCAGGATTAGCCGCCGCTAACGCCGCCACCACGACCACCAAACGTCAGCCTAACTCTCCGTCGGTCTGCCATTGTCGGATTCAACGTTTGATTGCAAGTTTTGCTTGTGTTTGAGTAGCCTTCTTGGTTTTTTTTTTTAAAAAAATAAATTCTGATTTTTTTTTCTTCTAATTTTCAGATTTTTTGGAAGGTTTTAGAGAGAGAAAATGTCAAAGAGTGATTTTGTGAGATGAGAAATGTCTCGTAAAGCCCTAACTTACTTTATCGAGTATTTATATACGGAGGGCAATTTAGGAAATTCATGTAAAAAATGTGAACGTCACCTAGTAAAATGCGAACGACGTTTAACAACACCCAATTAAAAGGAGGTAAGGAGAAGGAAGGAAAATCTGGCTTTCTTGTCTTGTAAAAGAAAATATTCATTCTCCATCATTAAGGATGCAAGTTTTCAGTTTCACCATTGCGAAAATTTGCCACTCTTCACAAACCAAACAAAGACAAATGGAAAAAAAAAATTAAAGGGGGAGAAAATTAATCAAATTTGCTTAAAAACACAGTCAAATTAATCAATCAATGGCGTTGTTTTTTCTAATATCACGATATTATCTTTGAAAAATCAACCCCATATGTCTATTTCCACCATTTGATTTGATCAATAAAAAACAAGCTCAAGTGTACGTCATTCAATAATTGAGGACATGAACTATTTAGTACAAAAAGAAGACAAATGATATTAATTAGCACGAGATTCAAAATGATCTAAAATAAACACGTTGGTCCACAAACACCTTAATATTTATTCTCCTAACACAATCATGCATACTCATGCATGAAATGCATTACGTACGGAAACTTCTAAAAGCCACAAGAAAATTGAAACCTAATTAAAATCAACACCGAATTTGCAAATCCTAATGAAAACCCCAATGATTTTCTCTCTTGTTCTTTGAAATAAAATTTCATAAGAACATAATTTAAGCTTGGATTTTCATTAAGCAATTACAACACAACTTTATTCTTGAAGCATAAAACTCGGTACAATTAATCACATCCACCAATATAAAGATCCTAGTCTTGGTGACATCTTTTTCTTGAGCAACTTGTTGACCTCATTTGCTGTACTCGCACCTACCATGATTTACCAACAAAGTTAGATTCATTATGTTCGTTGAAGATGTAAAAGTTTTAAACAATGAAGAAATATCTGCATATTAATCATGTACTCCGCGTGTTATGTGATCCTAATTTTTTTTTTTTTTTTTTTTTTTTTGAAAATGACCTCCGATAAAATGTGGACTAATTAATTATTAAGGGATGAGGAAAGAAGGGGGAAGAAATACCTGCATAAGAATGAGGCTTATTAAGACTTGAGGGTTTCATGTGTAGATACATCAATAAAACAGATTCAAATACTTGTAATAAAAATACATAATAATGGGAAGTTTAATGACCGATAGAGTTCATGCTAGTGACATAGATTGATGTTACTAGGAGCCCATCCTTGATTGTTTAATTTGTTTGTGCTTCAAAGTCTTGTGTTTTTATTTTTTGTTTTTGATGTTAATAAAATTTCGCAAAATTAATTATTTAGGGACACAAAAAGAAAGGGGAAGAAATACCAGCATAATAAGCACCATCTGCATATCCAAAGAGTTCCGCGTGTGTATGCTCTCCAGTGAAGAAGACATTTTCAACTGGAGCCTAATACATATGCACAAGATCACTTAAATTCATTACATATAGTCTTCCAAAATTCATGCCGAACAACAACACTGATTATTTCAAGACTATGTATAGCAAAACCCTTATAGCGAGGCTTATATAAATAAAACTTACCTTAAGGTTGTTATGCTTTTCAGTTGTGTATCCAACAGGCCAATTAGTGAAAGTGCCTCTGTATAACCTATCAGAATACCATCTAGGAATCATTATATCAGTAGCATCAGGAATGTCATCTCCAAATATTTTGCGCAGAACTTCCATTGCTTCTGCTTTTGTTTTCTCATCTGGTTGTGCCTCTATCCTCTTTGACTCGTCGTCTGTAACTGTAACGAACAAAATGTTGGCTCCTGGATACTCCATTTCTAGTTGCTGCAATCATACCAAATTTACATGTAATTTTTTTTTTTTTTTTTCAGGCAATTGAAACTGAAAGTTCGAATTACACTAGGTATTTATATTTCACAAAATGTACCTGCCAAATTGCATAATATCCACGCCTTTCATGGACATAAAAGAAAAACTCGTTTCCTTTTCCGGTAGGCCAGAATTTCTTAGGGAACTTGAGGAAGATCTTTGTGTATATACCTATGCTGAATTCATTAATGGCGCGCCTTTTCCAAAACTGCATTTCATTCAAGTTGATTCCAAATTGGTTGAGTTGGTACTATAACAGTAATACCGGAAACACACGTGGTCTTACTTAATTAGCTAAGGATGAAATACTTACGGGTAATTCTGGTTTAAAAGAGATGAGATCACTTTGGAGAACACCAATACTCGGAGATAGAATGACAGCTTGGCCTGTGTATACTTTGCCGTCTTCTGTTTTTATTGTCACTATTCCACTCTTTGAGTAATCAACCTCTTTCACAACCTGTTAAATTAAATTCACGACAGATAAATGAAACTTTTATTTGAAGACGAATGGAGTATAAGATACAAAATATAGGATTACATAGTAATTTAATATCTAGGTATACCTGTTTAAAGATGACCCTAGGGTCATTGACAGTATCATTGGTGTAGGTGAGGTAAGTTTTGGCAATTTCATGAACAATGCTCTCGAATCCTCTGGAGTCAGCTACGAAATACTCACCCTCACCAAAAAGACTAAATTCTGGCCTTGGAATTATATGCTTAAGACTTGTTACCCTTGGTGCCTCTGCTTGCTCGCCGTCGAAAGAGTAGAAGTCAATCATCTTTTCTAGGGGTGTTTTTGGCTCCCTGTATGTCCAATATTTCAATGACTAATATCATCAGTACGTAAATGTCACATGTACTAAAAAATACATATAATATGAGATCTTATTAGATTTATATTACGTGTATTTTTCAAATATGTAATTTTCATAATTTTATTCATTTACCTTTTATTAAGACGTTCACCTGCCAAAAGGGACATATCGTCATCTTTCCCTTTTTCAGCATTAAACCTTTCTGATATCTTTTCTGCATAATCTTCATTACTCTCCGCCATGTCTAATGCCGCATCCACCTCTTCTTTCGAATACAGTCCACCCCTTTAAGACAACAATAATATAACAATGAAGTTAGTACATATTTACCTATCAATCGCCGTTAGTTGTTTATTTAGGCTTTGTTCTCTTTAACTAGAGTTATCTACACTGATGACTCTATAGTTACAAAAACAACAACAAAGCCTTAGTCTCAAAATGATGACTATATAATAACAATTGGTATAAAAATTTATTTATGAATTGATCCAAACTACTCACTCTTGCTTGTAGGTGTTATATGAGACATTGCTGAAGTCCGAGTAAAAGGACTTAAGCTTGATTTGCTTGGCGATTTCATACATGGGATTCTTAAGAGGACCTTCTGCTCCGTGAAGCCAATTTGCTCCCTTCTCAACAACATGCCCTCCAAATTCAGTCTTGTGAATCCTACCACCAATCCTATCTGTTGCTTCCAAAATGATAAAGTCCTTGATGCCTTCATCATGCAGGTTCTTAGCTGCTGAAATCCCTGAGATTTGTAGTAGAACGTATAGTACATTGTTAAAATTGCAACTCGTACTTTTTATTAATTTATTATTATTGACTTACCACACCACCTTTGACATATATTATTAAACCAATCCGATCTAAAGTAAAATTCGATTTTTAATTATCAAATCTAATCCAATTAACTTTCTTATTTAAATCCAATCCGAATTAGAATTCGGATATTTGGATCCGATCTGAAAATTCAAATTAAATTGCCTTGCAACATTCTAGGTCCTAATGTGATTATTAAAACAAATATGCAATTATAAAATTCAAATCTTGAAAACATAGTTGTACATGATTAATACACAACTATTGTAATTAACATTGTTTTAAACAATTAATATTAACGTAATTTAAAACATAGTTTTACCTGATTACTATAAACAATCTTTATTAGTAAACTCATGTTTTCATATATATAAAAAATTTCAATTTAATCCAATCCAAATTAATGCTTCGGGTTGAATTGGATTGAATTTTGATTGTAATCTGAATAATAGACACCCCAAATTTTAGTTATACAGATTCATAAGTAAAAAATAACAATTTTGCAAAGCATTTAGCAATAGGTACAAAATTACAGTTTTTTTTTTTTTTTTTTTGTTTATTTCAGAGAATCTTATTGAATAATCAATTCCATTTTCTATTAATCTCCTTTTATTTTTTCACCATTTACAAGTTGTTTTTATTTTATCTCCTCTCCTCCATCATATCGTATCTCAACATTTCTTATAATAAGTTAATGATAAAAGATCGCCTTATTCAAGAATTTATGTAAGGATTTTTGTATGGATGCTCAATCAAAGGGTGATGAACTATATATAATTATATCATTTCAACCAAAATTAAAATTAAATGTTCACTTCATCAATTGGTGCTATCATGTTAATTAATAATTATTTTCTTAGCTTATAATTATATTATATAGACTTTAATATATAGAGCATGTATAGGTTTTAATTCCCTACTATATATGTGTTAATATGTAATTTGAATGTACTATACGTTTAGGTTTAATTTCCTATAAGTCATTACTTCGTATTTTTAATAACTGTTGATTGTATTAGTTTATTACTCAAAAAATGACAATTTTTATACTATAATTACTTCAACAATACTGGTTAAAATCTTAAAATTTACTTTAAAATCATAACTATAGTGCGCTCCTACACTTTTATGAATAATGCAAAAGTTATATATGGTACAACTAATATAAAAACACATGAAGATCGAAATAATAAGAAAATAAAGTTAAAATAAAATAAGTAATGTCAACCAAAAAAATTATTAAAGTTCAGCATAATTATAATGAGCCAACTAAACTTAAAATAGGATAAAGGAAAGGTACAATTTTAGAAAAGGAAAATAATTGTGAATATGTAAATACAACCCTAATTGACATCGAAATAAATAAAGCAGCATACAACTAGGTTAGTTTGTTAGGTAGTTAAAGTCTTGGGGGTTAGCATGCATTAAGATCGAATACCTTCGTTCTATGTTCGTCTGGAATCAATCTTCAGGTTATAGTTAGACTATCAATTGTAATATTTAGGTATGGATAGAATATATGGTCTAGTTAAAATATATGTAGTATATAATTTTATTTGTTATAAAATCGGATTATATGCAATCGACAAAGTAAATTACGAAGTATATGTTTCTAAACATGAACTTTTTTATAATTTGAGGTTTACACAGCTTTTAAAAAATGGTCTTGAAAAGTAAGGACAATCACGGATGGTATCTTTCTTGTCCTCGTTGAAAATCTTTTTTCTATGTACTAATTACTTTATCATATTTTATTTATTAGAGTAATTAATACATTTATTTTGACTCATGTTATGACTTACGGGATTAAGGTTTTGATTGATTGGGGTAACTAAAACCTTCACTTTAACTTTATATTTCTTCTTCTTAAGTTAGGTTTTGCATTATATCAAGTGGAAATGAATATGGGCAAATAAATAAGTAAAGGGTGTGATCAACTCTGGCATGGTAGTCTGTAGACCTAGAGCACAAGATGGGTTTGAGTTCTAAGGTAAACAACCTAAGAAGAAGCTACGAACAAAGGACAAACAAACTACTCGTAGGATGGAGGTACAAAGATTATGTTGAGTTCATGAGCAAACTCACATGTAAGTGAAAGTGTTGCTCCACATTAATGTTATAACAACCACTTAATAGCTGCAATAAAAGCTACTCCGTAGCAAATAAATATTGTGCAACGTGTTAAAATCACTTGTGTTATGTTCTTGCTTATTCTTTTTGTTCTTAACCAAAAAAAAAAAAAAAAAAAAAAAAAAAAAAAAATCAGAGAGCGGGATTGAAATCAGACACTTACAGTCAAACTTGGAATCGAACTTCATGTAACAATTGAAATTCTTGAATTCGGCTACTCTAAATCCAAAAACAGAAACCCTAAACCAATATTTATCTTTATCATCGAGTTAGTTGAATTCTAAACAGTACGTACATCCGTACATCCACTTCACTAAAGGAAGTTGTTGCTCAAATTATTTTTAGTTATACGGGTTATTGCTTTTCCCCTACTTTATTAGCAAGAGATTAAGTTTCCAAATTAAATTGTGTTTGTGATAGATTTAGTTAGGTGGGTATAGGTTAATTTATTGTAAGACGAGTTAAAGTTATATTAAAAGTATTTAAAGTTACCCTTTATACTACAAAAGTTACCATTTCACAAATAATATATATTATCTTACAAAAAACATATGATGTACTAGATTAATCATATTAGCCTTTATATTATGTAATCATGAATCTATAAAAAATTACACATTAAAATAAAATTCAAACCAATGACAAATTAAAAGTTATCCTTTAAGGGGTTAAAGTTTCCATAAAAATAGTTAAAGTTACTCTCAAACTGACCGTTTTACAATAAAATTAACAAACACCCGCCTTACACAAGACTTATTGAAGATTAATTGTAATAATAGAAAAAATAAATGAAATAACATAAAATTAAAATGTGTTAAGTATAATGGTTTTGTGGATACTATTTAGAGAATGTATAGGTTTTAATTCCCTAATATTTTAGGTAATTTGAATGTACGTATAGGTTTTATTTCCCATAAATTATTATTTTTAATAACGTTGAATTGTATTAATTTATTATACAAAAAATGATAATTTTACACTATAGTTACTTCAAATTTATTGAGAATCTATTGTTTAAAGCTCAAAATTTACTTTAAAATCATAATTATTGTGCGCTCCTAAACTAGTTTTGTTTTTTTGTTTTTTTTTTTTGTTCTACCCGCTTCACCCTTTGGGCTAATCCGGATTCGAGAATCAATTGTGGGTGGTTAGGTTCCACTCCCCTCCTAATATTTGTTGTGGGGGGATCGAACACACGGTTCTCCCTACCAAGTGCAGTACCAATCACCAGTGCACCAACAATCAATTGGTGCTCCTAAACTTGTATGAATAATGCAAAAGGCATATATAGTTGCACACCATATACAAAAACACATGAAGTAATAATTAATAAGTTTTAAAGTAAAAAAAAAGGAAAAATTAGAAATAATAATCCCAGCTTTCATGAATATTGGTAGAATAATCCTAACTTTTGATTATTATAAAATACTCCGAACTTTTTGGTGGTTCCTCTTTTTCTTCAATCTCAAAATCCGGTGACCGGTTGAATAGGTTAATTTTTTTATTTTTTTTAAAAAGTGACACGTGTCACATGTTAATTGGTTAAAAAAACTAAAAACAAACAAACAAAAAAAATTAAAAACAAACAAAAAAAAAATAAAAAAAAACCCAGCGGTCCCAACCAAACCGTTGACGCCAATAATTTGCCACCCCTTAATGCCGGCATCTGCCCCAACTCCGCCGGTTTCCCCCTTCCCTCGCCTAACCGTCGCCCACTGTTACCCCTCCCCCCTCCCGCCGGCCAATTGCCCAGCCACGCACGAAATCCCTTTTCATTTTCTCTCTCCTCTTAATTGCCCCTGGCCACTAAATCCGGCGACCTGTGCGCCGCCGCTCGCGAAACTCCTTTGGAATGAATCCCTTCCCTACTCCCAAAAACACGTAACCCACCCCTGAAACCTCCGTTTTCGTTGGTGGGTTTTTGGGGTTTTGACTGGTGGCTGCGATTTAGGGGTTACGGTGGTTGCGTGGGGTTTCGGGGAAGGGGGAAAACGCCGACTCAAGGGGTGGGGGGAGACGCGACGGGCTGGGCTATGGTGGTGGAGGTTAGGGTGGATCGGTGGGGTGGCGGGTTGGGCTGTAGTGGTGGAGGTTAGGGTGGATGGGGGAAGGGGAAGCTGGGTGATTTTCTGAATTTTTTATTTTTTTTAATTTTTTGACCAATCAAGATTTAATTTTTTTTCTGTTATTGTTTTTTTGTATAATTTTTTTTTAATTTTTGGACCAATCAGGACTTGACATGTGTTAAGTGACCTGATATAATAGGTCATTGACTTTTGTTGACCAGTTAGGGATTGAAGAAAAAGAAGAACCCCCAAACTTTGGATTATTCCAGAATAATCCAAAGTTGGGATTATTCTAGCAAAATTCATGAAAGTTGGGATTATTATTCTAATTTTTCCAAAAAAAAAAAGGTTAATTTAAAGAAAAAAATTATTTAAGTTTAGCATAAATATAATAAAAAGAACAAAACTTAAAAAGTTAAGATAGGATAAAAGAAAAGGCACGAGATCAGAAAAGGCAAATACTTGTGAATATATAAGTATAACCCTAATCCGACATCGAAATATATAAAGCCATTTACAACTAGGTTAGTTAGTTAGTTACTTATTAGATAAAGTCTTGAGGGTAGTACTAATATCGAATCCCTTCTATGTTCGTCTGGAATCAATTTTCTGGTTAATGAGACTATCAATTGTAATATTTAGGTACGAATCAGATTGACTACCTGATCAAGACCATTAAGTTAAGATGATATACTTAATTACGTAATATATAATATTATTTGTTATATATGTGGATTATATGCAATAATTGACAAAGATATATACTGTATATGCATGTTTCTAAACATAAACTTTTTATAATTTTCCATATAATACGTATTAAAGAAGGAATATTGATAAATCAAATATGCATTAAAAACTGTGCATAATATGAGGTGTAAACAACTTTTTTTTTTTTAAATGGAGGGAATAGCAGTAAGTATTAGTTTGTTCTCTTGAAAAGTGAAGAAAAATGCGTGTGTGTCTCACCGGACATTCCAGCTCCAACAATGATGACTGAAGGGAATGAAGCTGCGGAAGCAAGAGTAACTAAGAATACCATGAAAATCAAAAGATGAAACTTCATTGCTTCACCCTTCATTTTTTGCCCAGGCCTAGAAGAAAACTTTTACGAAATTAATAGTTTTTCTATATCTAGAGATATATTATATAAAACCCTAGAAAAAGAAAAGTAATGGCAAAGTATTGTAGTAACGGGCTATAACGTATCTATATTTATAGGCCACTTGAAAAATAAAAATATCAAAAAATGAGGTGGAATTTAGAGTTACAACATTGTATGAGATAAGGTTATAACGTATCTATATTTATAGGCCACTTGAAAAATAAAAATATCAAAAAATGAGGTGGAATTTAGAGTTACAACATTGTACGAGATAAGGTTATAACGTATCTATATTTATAGGCCACTTGAAAAATAAAAATATCAAAAAATGAGGTGGAATTTAGAGTTACAACATTGTACGAGATAAGGTTATAACTTATCTATATTTATAGGCCACTTGAAAAATAAAAATATAAAAAAACGAGGTGGAATTTAGAGTTACAAATATTTCAATGATTTAACAGTAAATAGTGATAATGAAAAGTACTTGTTTCCAGCTCTGCAAATAATCAATAGCCTTCTTACTGCCTTAAACGTCCAATCAACAACCGAGATAAGGTTATACGGCATGCATCACGTCCCAAAATTACGAGAATGCATCACGAAACTACTACTATACTCATGAACGATACAAAGTAATTAGACCAATAAGAGTTGGTTTAAATGGTAAGCAACTTGATGTCGCTTAAAGGAAGGTCTCGGGTTCGAGACTCACCGTATACAGAAACTCTTGTTGGGAGACTCACCCACCATAAGTCAGGTGTGCAACTCGGATCGGACCCGCATGTAGTCGGAGCTAAACTCCGGTGAACTGGGTGGGCATCCTAAAAAAAGATACGAAGTAATTAGTGATGACCAATTTAATTTGTGTTTCCTATCATCATTAGTGACTTGTTAATATTGTAATCCCTTTGCTTGTGTTTTTCTATACTTTAGGATGTTCTAATTTACTTAATTATCATATTTTCTTTACAGGGAGTGATCAATACCTTTACTTTAGTTTTTTTTTTATTTTTTTTATTTTTTTTTTTTAGAGTGTATTAGGTTTTGCGTCAGGTCAATAAGAGTGGTTATTGGGCAATTAAATAATTAAGAATAGGGTACAATTCAAACCCAGCATAGTAGTAGACAGTAGACCTAGAGCATGAAATGGGTTTGAGCTATACATCGAACTAGGAAGGATGTGTATTGTATGTAACTACGTATATATATATTACTTCGTATATAATTAGCTAAAGCTAAGGTTGTGCAGTGACACATGCATACATGTACTTAAATCGTGTAGTTCTAATTAATCACTTGAGATTTTTTGCTCAATATATTGTGACTCGTCACCTACCCTTGAATCCTTGATTGGCTTGAGAATCCCTGTGACCTGTCACCCTTGGGAATGGGTACTCGTTCTTCTTTATTGAAGAGAGTGAAATTTTTAAGGTGGAGGGGATGTACCAAGCTTGGTATATTATCCAGCCTTTCATTCTTAAAAAAAAAAAAAAAAAAAAAAATTTAAAGACACCCAACTTTTGAGTCTTTAAACTGAATTATTTGCTTCGTAATTGAAGGAGTTTGGTAATTATTTTCCATATTAATAGAGTTTCAATTTAGTTATTTTTGTGTATTTGTTCATAGGATCTTGCTAACGAACACCCTCGGTACGTTAGATAAGCATTTAAAATATTCCCTAAAGTGACATTAATTTAGGAATGCATGCCAAATTAAATTCAGGCGTCCATCGGTGTAATTAATGTTCATTTTAATCCAATATTTCTACTTATCTTATCTAACGCTCTCGGGGCGTTCATTAGTTTTTGTCATTTTCAATTTTTTAGTTATTCTTTAGAGAGAGAAATAGAAAATTTCCAGAGATAAATTCTAGAGATCGAAGACAAGGGATGCGCACTTCAGAATTTTGTCATGATTTTGATCGTCATTTTGTTAATGGTGTGATTGTATGAATCTGTATGTTGAATTTGAGATCAATGTGACAAGATTGAGTATGATGTTCTTTATAATATATTGTTTTGTTCCTTGCTATTTATAACTCTGAAATCAATGTTCTTTATAAAATATTGTTATGTTCTTTTTGTATATTTTTTATGTTCTTTTGATATATCCCTTATGTTCTTTTGTTTAATCCTTTATGTAGTAGTTCTTCTAAGTTTTTGTTCCTTTTGTTAATCTTGTATGTGTTTTTAGCGCCGATGTTCTTTGAATTTAGTCATTAGAGCATCCACAATGATAGTATAAAAGAAGTTGCTTGCAATTTATAATAGTCGGAGCCACATGCTCACCATTGTGGAGCTACATACTCACCATTGTGGAGCTACAAAGGTTGTAACTAAGGCCAAACCTTGTAGCTCCATGGAGCTACAAGGTTTTGCTCCTCCCAATATATTGATTTGTTTAATATTTGTATGTATTTGTTTTATGTATATTTTTTTTTATTTTTTTATTTTTGATTTATTATTATTATTCCCAATTACAAAAATAAATAGCTAACCATTGTGAAGGTTGTAGCTTACATGTTGTAGCTTATTTTAACAAAGAAAATAATGATATGGCAATTGTTAGCTACAAACATAGGTAGCTAGCCTATGTGGATGCTCTTATGTTCATTAAATTTTGCCCATATGTTATTCTTTCTTTTTTGACAAATAACATATGTTATTCTTAAATTAGTTTTTAACGCCATTTTTTAATTAAAATTATACTTCCTCCGTCCCTAAAAGAACGACCCTTTTGGAGAGTTTTCACGGGTATTAAAAAACTTAAATGGAAAATACAAGAGTATGGGAAAACTAATAAAAGTACATTGAAAGATAAATTTGTATGCGATTTGCAAAAAATTAGAGAGAGAAAATAATACTCCCTCCGTCCCCGAAAGAATGACCCTTTTGGATTGATTTCGCGGGTATTAAGAAACTTAATTTGCAAGTACAAATATATGGGAAATTCAAGTTACAATAATTTGCAATTAATACATAGAGAGAGAAAGTCCCTTTTTTTGTCCTTAATCGATTTTCCAACAGAAAACCTTTAGGTTTTTTTTTTTTTAATCTTTATTCCATGTACAATCAAAATGCAATAATAATAAGGGACTAATCCATGTAAAATGATATTAACCACTAAGATTTGAGTATTCTTTTACAACATTCAATAAAATCAAAGTACACAGATTGCAAATTTGGCAATTTCATTCCTAAAAATATTTTTAAACATTTGATAACACCCTAAAAAAAAACAAAAATCTGCGAAATCACTCTGTAATCCACCGTCATCATGCCTTATTCTACGATTTGAATGTTGCTGTTGAAGCCTTCATTTCTGTTTTCAACAAACACATCGTTTCCAGAAAACATTAACCCTAACCAGAAAATCATCATATCAAACGAAAATTAAGATCAATGAAATTCCATCCAAAACCCTAACCCATATAATTAAAAATCAAAACCATGACCCAAAATATAATCATATCAAAACGAAAATCATCATCATTGAATACACAATTAAGAAACTAAGCTAATTAAAGGAAAAAAAAAATCAAGGGTAGAGGGTAAGATATGCAATACTAAGTGCTATAAACCGGGTCTTTTTTAGAAATTTTTCGGGGGCTGATTCGCAAGGACTATGCGAGCACCGATTTGGATTTTTTTCCCCAATTTGTCAATGAAAGTGGCTGAATTGAGGAGAGAGAAGAAGATAACACTACTAGAAAACAGTTAATCAACGACGGAAAAAATCCGTCGGAAAACCCTGAAATTCCGTCGGAAAGCATCGTCGGAAGACCCTTTGTAGGTATTTTGCGATATTCCGTCGGAAAGGTCTATTCCGACGGAATTTCCAACGGATTTTGTTCTGTCGACGCTTTTGTTGACTTTCAGTGAAAATCCGTCGCAAGGTTCCGACGGAAATTTCCGTCGGAGTGGGATATTGTTCCGACGGAAATTTCCGTCGGTGGGGTGAAAATTCCGTCAGAAAAATTAAAAAAAAAAAAAAAAACAGCCCCCCACCCCCACCCCTAACCCACTGCCCCACCCACCCCTAACCCACTACCACCCCCTAACCCACCACTGCCCACATTAACCAACCCCCACCCACCGTAACCCACCCAGGCTACACCCTTAACCCTTTTCAACACCACCTGCGCCAGCCCAAACTGGCCCACGCCCACATCCACCACCACGCCTAACCACCTCCAACCCATCCATGCACACCCACATCACGCCTAACCCCACACCACCCAACCACCTTCACCCAGAATAAATACAAAAAAAAACAAAAATTCATTAAAAAAAAAACAAAAAACGGAACCAGATTAAATAATACAAAACTGAATATACAAAATCAAAATAAAAAAAAATATAAAAAAACAGATCTAATACTCAAACGAAAAATTGAATATACAAAAATCAAAATCAGCAAAAAAAACTCAGAAATTCAAAATTACCTCACAATACAAAATAAAAATAAACATACCTTTTGAAATTTCATTTTTGTTGGGTTTAAATGGTCAAACTCGACCATGAAAATTCCAGATCTGGAATTTTCAAGGTCGAGTTTGAACAAAAAATCGTTAAATTGTAATTAGAGTGGTACGGCGGTGATGCGTGAGGACGACGGTGGTGCGTGAGCACGACGATGCTGCTGGTGGTGGTGCGTGACCACGACGGTGCGTGAGCAGAGGAGGGCGAGGAGAGGAGAGAGAATGAGAGAGGAGAAGAGAAACGTGAGAAGATAGAGGAGGGAGAAGGGTGAGGAGATGAGAGGATGGAGAAGTAGAAACGGAGAAGAGAAGAGCGAGGACCACGACAGTGCGTGAGAAGAGAAGGGAAAGAGGAGAGGGGGGAGAAGGAGAAAGAGGGAGAAGGGAAAGAGGCGGAGTAGAGGAGTGAGAAAATAGGAAGATCCGGTTTTTAAATGTAGGGTTTTGTTTTTTTTTTTTTTTTTTAACCTGAATTCCGACGGAATTTTCCGTCGGAACATAATTTTCCGACGGATTTTAGTTCCTTAGGAAGTTCGATATTCCGATGGAAAAATCCGTCGGAAATCTTCGACGGACTTTGTTTCCATTGGAAATTTAACGTTCCGACGGAATAATCCGTCGGAAATCCTTTATTTTCCTACGAGTAAATATTTCGTTGGAAATTTCCTACGGAATTCCTACGAAATAAAAAATCCGTCGGAATTTCTAATTTTTCCGACGGAAATTCATGTCCGTCGGAAACTGTCCGTCGGAAATAGATCTATTTCTAGTAGTGTAAACTAGGGTTCTTCTAGAGAAAAAACCCAAAACCAATGAAAATATGAAGAGAGATAAAGAAGGGACAGAAAAATATAATGGCAAGAGAGAAAAATAGTGTAGAAATTTAGGGAGTGGTTGGCACAAACATTTGAAAAAATTATGAGGGTAAAATAGGGAGAATGAGCTAGAAGACAAAAAAAATTGAGAATATATGGGTAATTTTATGATATTAATAGTTGTTGGGAAAAACAAATGGGATGAATATTTTGGGATTAATCTAGCCAAAAGGGTCGTTCTTTCTGGGACGGAGGGAGAAAAAAAATACATGGAAAAAGCAAAATTTTCACGGGGAAGCTAATTTTGCACAAATATTATTGTAAATTGGAGGGTATTTTAATGTAAATGAGATTAACATTTTTGGACTAAAATTTGGCCAAAAGGGTTGTTCTTTTAAGGACGGAGGGAGTATTAATTTTGAATATCGTGGAGTATTTATTAATTATATATTGTTTTTTTAAATTATTATTTAATATAATATTAATTTTAATATAGTAAGCGTGTTGACTGTTGAATATATGCGTATGCAATCTTATCAAACTTATTGAGCTAATTAATCTTGGAACAAAAATTAAGAGGATATGCATTATTAGAACGCATTTAACCTTGATCAGTACGCAGTATACCTTGACATTTAATACAAATTTTCTTTTTTTTTTTAGAGAGGTAATATAACAAATATTTTTTTAGTTCCCTATAGGTAGCCCTTAAGGCTATAAATAAACATTTAATAATCTTCTTTATTTGGTATTAATTTAGAAATATATGACAAAATTACGTGCAAATTAGTTTAATTAATGTTATATTTTCATTTTTTTTTTTCATTTTTAGTTCCTTATTTATAGCCCTAAAGACTATATATATTATATTCCAATTTGTTAATTATTTGTCATTTAGCTTCCAATTTTGTTATTATTTTGTTAATTGTTCTTGACACTACTTAATTATGGGGAATTGAAGTAGGAACACAGCGTGACATATGACATGAAATTCAAAATAATGTGACAAACACTATTTAATTATGGGGCATCTCTCGAATCGTTGAAACAGACAGTGTGACATTTGACATGAAATTCAAAAAAATGTGGCACGTGTTTAATCGGACATTGACGATGAGGTCTACGACACAATCATTGAAAAATATGTGGCTACTCACTCCCTCCATTTCTTTTTTATACTAGTAACGTTTTCATTTTTTGAGTTTTCCTTTTATTTTATTTTATTTTATTTTTTAATACAAACCCAAAGCCACTATTTACATTTACCAAATTATTTACCTATTTCCAAAACAAATGTTCTCAATTACCTACTCCCAAACATTTTTCTTAACACCTATGAATAAAACTTAAATGCATGTAACTTTAGAAAAGAAACAAATGGAGTACAATTCATTTCATACCATCACAAAAGTACGCAACTACTCTCTTTGTTGTTATTTTAATGCTCCACTTTAACTGACACATACGCTAAAGTAGATATTTGATCAATAATATCTTTAATAATCAATATCGTATTTATATGAGTATAAGAAAATTAATTATATTGTATTATGTGTATATATAATATATATAGAGATTCCTGGCCAATGACAATGACAATAACAAAAAACTACACAAAAAATCTCATTAATAATTGAGATTTGAGACGAGACATCTTGTTTTATGCATGAGACACCTAGATTGCACATCAAACCTCTTTTAATTTCCAGCAAACATAATTGAGATTAATTACTCGTACTGTAATATTTTTGAATTAGTGATCCAACTTGATATTAATCACTCTCGCCGTTACTGAGAGAGGGTTATGTTTATCATTTTAAGCGTCCCTTTTAATGATTACATTTCAATTATAACAACATAGAAACAAAATACTCCATCAGTCTTTCAAAGATTAATTGCATTGTGTAGTTGAATCAGTTAAGAGCCAACATAGAGTCCACAATATCTGCTGAACCACTGCTGCTCGGATATGAAGTCATGATCATATTCATCACTAAAATCACAACCACCTCCATTGTTAAGTAATAAAGATGTGAAATGGGCTTAACACGTTTGTAAACTAGGTATAATATACCACATGATTCAACCAAGTAAGTGAACAAGCCATCAATTTTTTGTTCTGCTTCCAAACCACGAGGCTTAATGACATTTTTCATATTCAAAGTAACGGGATCAATTACTACAAGCAGACCCTTCATACCAACGGCATAAAAAGTACCCTTATACGCAATTATATCTCCAAAGTGAGGACGGATTGTTCCGATGTGGTCACATTTGGATGATTCATTTTTAAAGAGTGACAAATGACCATCAAAGGCAAGAGACAAAATATAATTATTTCCTGAAATTAGAGACGAGAGCACGAGCACCTTAACTGCCACCATATAATCGACATTACCGAAACAACCAACCAGTCATCAAGGGTGTATGTTCTAGCAACTTCAAATATTATACCGTCGAGAAAATTTACCGTTGTATTCAGTGTTGGCATAGGTTGAAGTATATATATGTACTGTGCTGTGTGCAGGAGAGATTATTGGATTCATGATGCGCCAATTTACCATATTTTGCGTGCATCTTAAAAGGGTAGTTAATGAATTCAGATGGAGCGACGGTGCTTGATCGAAACAGAGGAACACGGAGAAAGCATCGGAGGAGAAAGGGACGAACGCCATGAGGTGCAGACACTACGGAGCCTGCGGCGATCGGTAATGGTGGTGTTGAGGCAAGCAAGCAAGAGGGAAAGTATGCGACTAGGGAAAGCATGACATTTTTATCTTGTTTATAATAGATAGATAGATTGGGATAAACTAATATGGAATAATAGAGATTGAATTTGAAGTTGGATTACTTATATTAGAAAAGTTCAGAGTTCCAGTAAGAAATAGTCACGAACAATAATATGGATTCAAGGACTAATTTTTTAAAGTTTTTCGGAAAATTTCTGGGAAACTACCTTATAAAATCGATTTTTATGAAAAAGTTATCTGGATTAGCTATAGTTGTTGGTATATAGTGACAATGTTTGTAGTTTTGCATTATTCCCTAAAAGCTTGATCAATGTACTCCACAAGAATAGTATCAAATTAATTTAATTATTCAATTATACACATGCTAAATTTTAGTTTCTTCTTTTACTCTTGCCATGTAGTGTGTTACTGTCACAATAAAAATAAGAGCATAAGTTTAAAGTATTGTTAGGTTGACATGAGAATATATATATATATATATATATATATATATATATATATATATATATATATATATATATATATATATATATATTTCATTAGAATTAAAATCACACATTAATTTTTCTAGAAATTGGCTAAGCATATTTGGTTGTTAAGAATATATTTACAAATCATGAGAATTTTGTGTTTTATGGGGAGCTTATTGGTAATTTATTACTAAAATTTTGAGGGCATTCAGTTGAAAATTCACATGAATTTGTCATTTCTACGTTTTCACTTTTTATGGTCAATTAACAAATCCCTATATTCAAAATCATACAATTTTTTAATAATTTCCCTTTTTTTCAACCAACAATACCTAAAGTCATTAAAAAAAAAATTAATGGATTTTCGATTTAGTTCAAAAAAAAATTATACAAAAGAAAATAATTAATGTGAGATTCAAAATATTCTGAAATAAAACATGCTGGTCCACAAACACCTCAATTTTTTATTTTCCAACACCCGTGAGTTGCATTACAAACAGAAACTTCCAAAAGCCACAAAGAAAATGAAACTTAATTAAAAAGACCACTTCACTCTCTTGTTCTTTGAAATTAAATTTCAAAAGAACATAATCTAAGCCTGGATGTTCATAATCAATTGCATACACCTTTATTCTTGAACCATAAAACTCGGTGCAATTAATTACATCCACCAATAATATAAAGATCTTAGATTTGGTGACTTCTTTTTCTTGAGCAACTTGTTGACATCATTTGCGGCCCTCTTACCTACAATGATTACGTGATAAAGTTAGATTCATTGAATTGACAATAAATGTAAAAGTTTTAAACAGTGCAAAAAATGTCTACATAATAATTATGTATTTCCGTTTAATACAATCTTAACTTTTTAAAAATGACCTCTTATCAAATGTGCCCTAAATTATGTAAGGACCCCAAAAGGAGGAGGCCGAAAGAAATGTCTATATAAGAATGAGGCGACTAAAGTCTTGTGATTGTATTATTTGTTTTTGAAGTGAATGAAATTTTACTTAATTATTTTCAAAAAAAAAAAAAAAATCAATTCTTGAAATAATGACCTCTAATCAAATGTGTTTAATTATTCAGGGGACGCGAAAAGAAGAGGGGTCGACGAAAGAATTACCTGCATAATAAGCGCCATCTGCATATCCAAAGAGTTGCGCATGTGTATGCTCTCCAGTGAAGAAGACATTTTCAACCGGAGCCTAATACATTTGTTCAAGATCATATGCATTAATTATAAAGTCTTTTCCAAAAAAAAATTGAATGCCACTGATTACTTTCAGGACTACTACGTATAGCAAATAAACTTATATATATCGCGAGGTAAAGATAAAACCTACCTTGAGGTTGTTATGCTTTTTAATAGTGTATCCAACAGGCCAGTTAGAGAAAGTGCCCTTGTAAAACCGATCAGAATACCATCTTGGGATCAAAATTTCAGTAGCATCAGGAATGTCATCTCCAAATATTTTGCGCAGAACTTCCATTGCTTCTGCTTTTGTTTTCTCATCTGGTTGTGCCTCTACTCTCTTCGACTCGTCGTCTGTTACCGTAACCATCAAAATGTTGGATCCTGGATACTCCATTTCTAATTGCTGCGAATATACGAAAATTGTACATTTATTTATTTTTTTTATTTGTTACACACTTGAAACCGAAATTAAAGCACATATTTATTTTTTACCTGCCAAAATGCATAATATCCACGCCTTTCATGGGCATAAAAGAAAAACTCGGTTCCTTTGCCGGTAGGCCAGAACTTCTTAGGGAACTTAAGGAAGATCTTGGTGTATATACCCAAGCTAAATTCAGCAATGGCGCGCCTTTTCCAAAACTGCATTACATTCATGTTAATTCCTCAACCAAAATTAATAAAACTCGAATAGTCTAGGCCGGCCTTGGGGCATTGTACTTACGGGCAATTCTGGTTTAAAAGAGATGAGACCACTTTGGAGAACACCAACACTTGGTGATAGAATTACAGCTTGGGCTGTGTACTCATTGCCATCTTCTGTTTTTACTGTTACTATTCCACTGTTTGAGTAATCAACCTCTTTCACAACCTGTTAAATGAACATTCACGACAGATTAATTAAATGAGACTTTTATTTGAAGATGAAGGGAATAATTAAGATTCTTAGACTTGTATCTAGGTATATATATATACCTGGTTAAAGATGACTCTAGGGTCATTGAGAGTATCATTGGTGTAGGTGAGGTAAGTTTTCGCAATATGATGAACAATGCTCTCGAACCCTCTAGAGTCAGCCACGAAGTAGTCATTCTCACCAAAAAGAGTATACTCTGGCCTTGGAATAATATGCTTAAGACTTGTTACCCTAGGTGACTCTGCTTGCTCACCGTCGAAAGAGTAGAAGTCAATCATCTTCTCTAGGGGTGTTTTTGGCTCCCTGTCCACCAATATTTCAATGTAAATAATATCATCGGTAAATGTCATCACATGTACAAATCTGTAGGACGTTTAGTAGATATAGTGGTTGTTTGGCTGATATATAAATACATACATCCTACTTTGGTAGTTAAACATTCTAATGCAAATCTAGTTCTACTATTAAACTCAATATTTGTATTGTAGCACACGCACATTGTATGATAACTAACGTTGTTAATTACCTGTGGTTGAGACGTTCAGCTGCCAAAAGGGACATATCATCATCTTTTCCTTTCTTAGCACTAAGCCTTTCTGATAACTCTTCTGCATAGTCTTCATTACTCTCAGCCATGTCTAATGCCGCGTCCACCTCTTCTTTCGAATACCGTCCACCCCTTTAAGACAACAATACATAACAATCGAAATTGTTTAGGCTTTGTTCACTTTACCAGATATTTACGTGCTATTATACTTCCTTCGTTTCATATTAGATGATATATTTCATTTAGGCACGTTTGCCAATGCATAGTTTCTAACGCAAATATCCTTTATTACGTATTAGCAAAAATTATAAAAATTTGATGTTTAAAAAATAGATGTTGAAACAAATCTAGACTAAAACATGACTATTTTTTTTCTCAACACGAAATCACAAAATTAAGTAAAAGAAAGTTATGTGAATAATGCACAAAGTCAAATTGTGTCATCTAATTTGGAACGGAGGAAGTATATGTTAACAGTTAGGTAGAAAAATTAATTTACGACTGCTCTACTCACTCTTGCTTGTAGGAGTTATATGATATATTGTTCCAGTCCGAGTAAAAGGACCTAAGCTTGATTTCCTTGGCGATCTCATACATGGGATTCTTCCGAGGACCTCCTACACCGTGAAGCCAATTTGCTCCCATCTCAACCGCATGCCCTGCGAATTCGGTCTTGTGAATCCTACCACCAATTCTATCTGTTGCTTCCAAAAAGATGAAATCCTTGACGCCCTGATCATGCAAATCCTTTGCTGCAGAAATTCCTGAGAATTATTGTAGAAAAATAATGCACATTGTTAATGTTGTAATAAACCAAACTACAATGTTTTTGATGCAACAAAATGAGAGATTCATATATGTAGACAAGTTCGAAACTTTACAACCAGATTTATTGGCTCGTGTCAAAAAAAAAAAGGGGAAAAATGCTTTAAGGAGGTTGCATATATGAGAGTCTCAAAAAAGAAATAATAAGTTAATTCACCAAGTTATGTGTGATTTTACCATGCATTCATAAAATAATATTAAGTAGGTTAAATTTACCTTATCTAAGTATCTTACTACTTATTTCATATCAGATTAGAAAAAAAATAGGTTCAGATAAAAAATAATAACATAAGTTCATATTAGGCCTTATCATTTTACTTGCAATATTTTGTCACTAAATAATTTTAATTCTGTAAAGAAGAAAAGTACTAAAATTACACACTTCGTATATGGAAAACACACATTAATACAAATTTATATGGCATCATTTGATATTTTCTCCCCGTATAGATTAGAGTATATGAGGTCAATGTTGGTCAAATCAACCAATCTGTTAATTTCATATCAAATAAAATAAATTAAAATTAAATTATATCAGATCTGAAAAAATACGTTCAAATTATATCATATCAGGAAAAACAAGTCAAACCAAATTAGATATAAACAAAGATAAGATGAACCAAACATAGCTTAATCTAGTAAATGTATTATATGCTTATATACCGCCTTAAAAATAATGCAAAAATAAGTATCATAGTGACTTGGCACTTATGCCAATTGCCAAAACACCACACCTTTGACCATAAGTAGTTTTTAATTACACAATTCATAAACAAATATACGGAGTAAAAAAAAAATTACCCCCCATAGAAAGTTTGCAATAAGAATTTATTTAGATGATTATTAGTTTTTCCTTATGTGAAAATAAAATAATGCAAAAGGTAAATAGTAAAACTTATAAACATTGGAAGTAATAAGTTAAGTTAGAATAAAATAAGTAAAATTTACCAAAAATTATTTAAATTTTGCAAAAATAAAATGGGATGAACCAAACTTTAAATAGGATAAAAGAAAAAGTATAACATCAATAAAAGCTTATAATTGTATGTAAAGAAGTACATACAAGTGTATAACCCTAGTAAAAGACATCAATTTAAAGAAAGCAATATACTTCGTATATACTTAAGTTGTCAAATAAAATGTACTTAAATAAATGACATTGAATTTAAGAGAATTAATGTTGTGGATCTGATTCACAATAATAATAATTGTGGATCACACCCAATGTACATTGTCAGCCGATGTGATTTTGTACATAGTGAACCTCATTTTACATAATGCATGACCTTAATTAATTTTAACATATTGACCTTTATTAAAACTTGTGTGTACTAATTAATTTACAATTAGATAATTGTATGTTTACTTAATTTACAATTAGATAATTGTAGCATTTGAGATCCACACGTGCAAGCCAACTTTATGTTGAATATAATGACCCTAATTTTAACATAGTGACATTTTATTATTTATATTGACCAGTATATTAAAACTCTCATTATAGTATATTTATATCTTATGCTCTTTATTATAACACAATGATTTCTAATTTAACATAATAACATTTATTTTGACATAGTGACCTTTTTATTAATATAACGACTTTAACTTTAAAATGTTAACATTTAATATAGTATAGTGACCTTTTTAATTAATATAACGACTTTATCTTACAAAGTTCAACATTTAAACATAATAACCTTAATATTAGTGGTCCGCATAAATTAATGTGAACTAGGTCTATTTAAGAGTTAATATAAAGAATGTTCTAAGAAGTAAGAATGTCAAAATGTTTGATCGATAAGGACTACTATATTCGTCTGAAATTAGTTCTCATATTGTTATTACACTATCAATTGTAAACAATAAGATACGGATTGAGAATTGAACTACCTAAGATATATATATATTAATTACTCGTATTTATATATGTTAATATATGGGATTTGGATTGAGAAATTATACTCGCTCCGACTAAATCCATTTGTTTACACTTGAAGTCCATAAGGCCAATGCAAATGCAAACTATATTATCAATAAAGATATAAGTTAAACACATATTTATATTTATGTGTGATCTTGATTGACTTGTCTCGGTTTATAGTTTTCAAGCGTCAGCATTTTATAAATTGTAATAATACATATCTAAAAAATATTGATAAATCAAACACGCATTGACAAATGTGCAAAAGTGACTTGTAACAAGCAAATTTTAAAAAATGGAGGGGAAAACTTGATTAGTTCACTCTCTTAAAAAGTAATAAAGAAACAAGTGTCTCACCGGACATTCCAGCTCCAACAATGATGACTGAAGGGGATGAAGCAGCAGAAGCTAGGGTAACTAAGAATACCATGAAGATCAAAAGATGAAACTTCATTGCTTCACCCTTCATTTTTTTTTTTTCTAAATTATATTTTTCTATATGTAGAATATATAACATAAAAAAAAAAAACTAGAAAAAGATAAGTAGTGTGGCAAAGTGTTGTAGTAACGGTGCATAACGTATCTATATTTATAAGCCAATTGAAAAACAAAAAAAAAAAAAAAAAAATCAAAATATGAGTTGAAGTTTAGTGTTAGGTGCCACGTAGTAGCCTATTACTCGTACAAGTATTTCAATAATTTAGCAGTAAATGAAACGTGATGAAAATATTACAATTATTATTATATCAAAATTCCAGCTCTGCAAATTATCTATAGCCTTAAACGTCAAATCAACAAGCTAGATAAGGTTATAATGTATGCACCACGTTGATAAATTATGATAATGAATGTGTATTATATATGCTACTGATAGTGATACACCACAAGCTAAAGCTAAGGTTGTGTAGTGTACTAGATCGATCATGTACAATCTACGTAGTTCATTCGAAGTTAAGTCTGATTACCGTTCTAATTATTTATTTGCTTATAATTTTTGGTATTGCATTTCCTATTTGTCAACCATATTAGGAAATAGTTTCCTCAAGCTTCTAAATCCATAAAGAGTAGTCTTGCTAGCTAAATTCTAAACTAGAATACTAGTTTTACTGAGTAAAAATGTGAATCCATATATTATATACTTCTTCGGTTTCTAATTGCAACACTCCTCTAAAATGAAAATGTTAGAATAGTTGCAACACAATATAAAAGGAAGATTTTTATGGTGAAAATTGTACTATTACCTTTATTTAAAACTCATGGCCTTCTTGATTATACTCTTAACCTCATTTTAAGTGTATTATATCATGTGAAGTCCACTTTTCTTAAGTATTGTGATAAAGTGTGTGTTGCAACTATAAGAAAACGATGAAACTATATACTAAGTAAACTTTGAAATTAGGCCGAAAATGAGTTACTTACACAGAAAATTAAGATAATATCTCTAACCTCTGATCTGATTTTCCAAATTGAAGACAACAACTAACCAACTACCATGAAAACCTAACAGTCCTTAAGATTAAGACGTACTGTACGTACTGTGCCCTCACTCTTGAAGAAATCTGAAATCCTTCATCGTTTTAGACGCGCCGTGCTCAAAGAACCCTTCTTCAATCACTTATCGCAAAACCAACAATAATCCATATATACTTAACCCAAGCACGATGAACTACAAAAAAGAAACCGGACATTTATTAAACTAATAACTAATTAAACCGACTTAAAATAGCAAAGAGGATTGGAATCAAAGACACCGAAAGTCAAACTTGGAGTCGAACTTCATTCGACCTTAACATGTATGTGGCAATTGAAATTCTTTCGGCTACTCTAAATCCAAAAACAGAAACCCTAATAACCTAATCTTTACCTTAATCATCGACTTAGTCGAAGTAAGTACATCCACTGCACACACTGAAGGAAGAAGCTGCTCACATTTTATTTAGTTTTATGGGTTGTTGCTTTGCCCTACTTCATTAGCAAGAGATTAAGTCTCCAAATTAAGTTGTGTCTGTGATGGATTGTCTTTTCATTTTTCACACATTAATTTTAATTTATTAATGTCTTGATTAATAAATGTCGATTTGGTGAGTAACTATCTTTTTATTAAAAAAGTTGTGGAAAATTACCCAAAAAAATACAAAATATTTGGGTAGGACTACCTTTTAACAAAATCAGTCATTTGTGAGGCCCTCCTTTTCGTTTCACCTTGAACTACCCTTTTATTCCAGAATACCTTATCCAATTATATATTATCTCAGTAATATTTACATTTTTTTCCTCATTACTTCTACTATTTGTTTTTTTTCTTACACTTATCTGAATTTTCTTAATTCTTCGATTTCTCCTTATATATTACTTTATCCATTTTTTTTAGATCCACTCACTCTTTTACACTCTCTTCTTTTATTTTGCCTTAATTCTTGTGCAAACATTAAAAGTTAAAAACATTTTAAAACGGATATATTACTTTTAACAACTTAATTACAACCTTACAAGAAATTTAATTAAGTTCGAAGATAATGAGGTCACTCATCCAATACACCAATGCTGGGAGACAGAATAACAAGGTCGGCTAATTGACACAATATTTCTTAAATTTCCATCTTCCGTTTTTTACTTTACACTACCTTTTCATGGGTCAATTTCTTTGACAACCTTTACAAATTAAACTAATTCTCACACATAAATAAATACGAATATAGGAAAATCACTAGTACTCCAATGACAAATTGACAATTAAGAAAGTTTCATACAAAAATATCACATTGATAATTGAGATGGCACATCAAAACTCTTTTCCAGAGTCCTAATCAGTATAGTACGGAATATTAATGAATTTATAATCCAACAATATTAATTAATTACTCCGTAATAATTAATTAAGGACAGAAACCCAGGCCATAGTTATTCTTGTTTGGAGCTCAGCTATCCACTGCAACTCTTATTCCTCAAGCATTTTATTACATCCTTTGCAGTATCAGCACCTGCAAAATCATATCCCACGTGATTTGTAAATTAATAAGCTGATTACTTTTACGTTCTGGTCTTTAAATGTTATTCTTATTTTGACGGGTGAATTTTTTTTTCTCTCAAAAAATAATACTTAAAGTTGTAACAATTTTTAAATATGGAAGTAAATATAATAAAATAATTGATGATATGGTCCCAAGTACCTGAATAATATGCACCGTCGGCATATCCAAATAATTTGGGGTGTGTATGCTCTCCTGTGAAGTATATTTTACCAAATGGAGCCTATACCAACCACAAATAAAATTGTTTATTTTAGTAAACATTCTTTTCATAAATATAATCAAATTAGACGTGCAAATTTCATATAATAGCATTAATTAAAGGTAATATAATGGTGTAAGCCCAACAGTATTAAATTAAATACGATTAATTTAATTTTATTGTGCTAGAGTTAGACTACGCTCGGGCAATCTTTGACCAAGTGTTGTCAAATCCTTGCTCCCGGTCAAATCCGGGGGTGTACATTCGTATTTTGTAAGATTAATTACGAGTATATTTTAGTGGTGGTAAAATAATACGGAGTAATAAGAGACAAGTTTACCCTCAACTGGTCATGGCGCTCTTGAGGATAGCCAACCGGCCAATTAGTGAAACAACCACGGTAAAATCTATCAGATTTCCAACGAGGAATCATAATATGTGTTGCGTCAGGGATGTTTTTCCCAAACATTTTTCTCAATACTTCAATTGCTTCTGCTTTTGTTTCTTCATCGGATTGTTGCTCTACTCTTATAGCCTCGTCGTCTGTTAATGTTACAAACATAACGTTCGATCCTGGATATTCGTTATCCAAATGCTGCAATTTGTTTTCATTAGCACGTACTTATACACTAATACTAAGTAATTAATCATGCACGTACTTTAATTATCTAGCTATGGAGTAATTAATCATTTTGATTAATAATGTACCTGCCAAATCGCGTAATATCCTCGTCGTTCATGAACATAAAAGAAAAATTCAGTGCTGTTGCCAACAGGCCAAAATGTACGGGGAAACTTGAGGAATATCTTGGTATAAACTCCAATGCTAAACTCTGCGATTGCGCGCCTCTTCCATAGCTGCTTAAGTCAATTTAAGTACGTGTACATCATTAACATAAGTAAAATAACAATTATATTCTTATAACAAGAACTAATTATTCTACTTGTTATGATATAATATAACACGACAGCTAATAAAAAGTACTAAGTCTACTCGTTATGATATAATATAATACGACAGCTAATGAAAAATACTAATGTATTAGTGAATGCTTATAATTATAAATTACTCCGTTTATGGTAATTACTGATCTCAAATATATACAACGATTATACGAAATATAATTTTTATTTGTTACAAGTCCTTGGTATAGTGGTATAATGAGTAACTTACAGGAAGTTCTGGTTTGTAGCTGATAAGTTCACTTTGTAACACACCAAGGCTAGGAGACAGAATAACGAGTTTGGCATGGTATTGCTTCCCATCTTCCGTTCTTACCGTTACTCCACCTTTTGATTGGTCAATCTCTGTGACAACCTGTATCAATTAAATACCTTAATATTAGTTTTATGTACTTCTTAATTACGGAGTATATAACTTTTTGATGCAAAAACGGAGTATATAATTAGCATAGTGGATGGATATTCATATAATACTGGTATATATATTTCTAATTTCTCGACATTCTCGATTAGAGAATACAATTCAACTAAACAACTGGCACGCATTGTAAAAATAAATAAATAAACTCAAGTTGCATGCACTTATTTAGAAAGATAAGATATTTTTAATACGGTAACATGACTAAATTCAGATGATTTAGGGGGGTTTAATGTCAACATTAGTAAATAATAATAATCTATTTAGAAAAGAAAGATCTAGCCAAGTTCCTTAATTAATACTTCGTAGTATATTATGTACGGACAAGTCAAGCCTAAAAAAGAAATTAAGCCGTCCTTACAAAAATAATTGAGAATTCACATTACTTGAATATATAATCAAATTATTGGTAAGAAGAGACGTACTATTATGCTAAATTTAATCAGCCATGAACCCATGAACATGTATTAAAATTTTATATTCCATAGATATAGTTAAAAAATAAACTCACGATGATGATTATTTAAAAGACGGTGGAGGCATAAAATTTAATAGTAGTACGTACCTGATTAAATTTGACTCTAGGATCATTGATAGCACCATTTTTGTAGGAGAGGAATTGTTTGGCAATAAGATGAACCAAGCTCTCAAAACCCCTAGAGTCAGCTACAAAGTATGCATTTTCACCAAAATCATGGGACTCGGTCATTGGTAGTACATGCCTCAAGCTTGTTACCCTTGGTGCCTCTGCTTGTTCTCCATCGAAAGTGAAGAAATCCACCATTTTTTCTAGGGTACTTCTTGGATCGCTGTCATTATAAGGATAGTATATCAACTTTTCACCACTTCACCATCGTAAATACACCATAGATTAATATACAACTGTACAAGTATTATCTGTCCGTGTTTTATCCAATCAATTTATCAATTGTTAAAAGGGTTTAGGCGGCGCCCATAAAAACTATAACTTTTCTATATAATGTGAGATAGATGACTCAATCTCACTTGTGAGTGTCCTTAGAAATTAAATTTGGATCTACACATGAGTTCAACAACATTATAATATTAAGTTAAATATGTCTCTGTCTAAATGAAATTTGTTTGATTTGCATTATCTATCAAAAATAATCACTCATAGATGATTCAAAGTCTTTTCTTTTCTTTTCTTTTTTTTTTCACCTACTACATTAACAATTTTAAAGTATATCACAAACTTGTGGACTATTTCCAATTTTCCATTATTTTAACCATATACTTATACTACCTCCGTTAACAGTTATTTGCAACGATTAGACATTTTTCCTCTCTACTTTATGTCAAATCGTTGCAAATAATTGTTAACGGAGGTAGTATTATTATTACAAAAATATAAAAATAAACTAATTATGTGCAAGGCAAGTACACCGAATTTTTTTGTTTCAAAAAAAAAAAAAAAAAGTACACCGAAATATTTTTGAAGCATTATCTTATTTCTTTCTCCTTTTTAAGTTGTAAAGGTTGTACGTGGGATTGTGGGAAAGTGGGATAAACCAATGGAATTATGTGCAAGCCAATAGAATTCATTTTCTATTATCAATTTATCATATATTCACGTGAACAGCCAATAGTAAGTCATACTATGATACTAATACAGTGGACCAGTGGTACTATGGTATCCCGATTTAAAATTTCCCTTCTTTTTATTTTTTATATAGATAGATATAGAAATACTCCCTTTTTTATAAACCAATTGAAATTATTATTATTATTATTATTATTATTATTATTATTATTATTATTATTATTCCCTTCTTTTAGAAATAATAACATTGTCAAAGTTCGGCAAATTTAACACATCCATTAAAATAAATAACGATATTTTTTAAAATCACACATTACAATGTGTACGTAATTCTAAAATGACGACTAGAGGAGGAAACAATTTATTGCAAGTATAATACGGAGTAGAATTCATTCTCTTTTTTCTTTAATCTTACATAGTTGTTGGGCACTTGATTGTCAATATCTCCAATGGTTAAGCAAGGGATATGATTGGACTTGCTTGTACAGAGTAATAAATTTTAAGTCTTTATTTATTAGCTTGACCTTAAGAGCTAAAGATTAAAATTAGCTTCAACAAGCTAATTTGTTTGAAAAAAATTCCAAAAACATGAAATGTAGATATATTAATAAAATTAAATTTGAAAAGCTAATTGAAAAGATGGGGCTCATTTAGCTACGTACAAAAGGGAACAAATTTGCTTAAAATATTATGTGATCACATGGCAATGCAAGTTATTTTGGCAATTAATTTATCATTGAAAATGCTCTTAGCTCACAACTTGACTTGAAAAATCAGACTGTGAAGGCCGCTATCAATTAATATAACAACCTAAGTGACTAATTGTAATCATATAGTCCATTCATCTGAATTTAAAACAATGTTTAAGTACTCATATACTTGTATTTGGATGTACTATATATATTATATAGTCACATAATTTATAATCAAACAAGTTCAAAACATTAAAAGGATTACAAAATTGTAACATTTAAAATTGATATATATACTCCAAAAAAAAAAGAAATTTAATCACGTAGTAACTAGTTATTATTTAATTTATAATTACTTACGTTTTCTGGAGGCGTTCAAGACTCAAAATGGACATATCATCCCCATTATTCTTCGAATTCAAAACCTTTGAGAGCTTTTCACCATAGTCTAATGTTTTTTCAGCTTTACTAAACGCAGCATCTACCTCATTTTCCTTGTACTTTCCACCCCTATACATAAAATAAATAACAATAATAAATTCATTAAAAAAAAAAACACACAAGGGTTAGGTAACATATGTAATAATGTAATGTATTATAATTTATATATAATGCTAAAATAAATGATTTTAGGCGTCTTTAGAGTCGGTTTGTTTCATCTTATTTTACTACATCTTACCTTATTTCAGTTAAAATAAGTTAGACAAAATAAGATAAGAAAAACTAATTACATATGCAATATATATAATTATATCAAGTTTAGAAAACATAAATTCAAATTTTAAATAAAATAAGTTCAAACAAAATAATATAACTTGATTTTAGATAGTAAAACAAGTTTAATTTAAACAAAATAAATTAAGTTAATAAAATAATTTTAAGCAAAATCAAATGAAAAAAACATATCCTTAATGTACTGTTAAATTATTACGTACTCTTGCTTATAGGTGTTGAGTGAGACATTGTTGAAGTCGGAGTAAAATTTTTTAAGGTGAATTTTTTTAGACATTTCATAGAGAGGGTTTCTCTTTGGACCTCCTACTCCATGAAGCCAATTTGCTCCCATCTCAACTGTATGTCCTGCGAATTGAGTCTTCTTGATTCGGCCACCGATTCGATCGGTTGCCTCTAGTATTAGGAAATCTTTGATCCCTGCATCTTGAAGTCTTTTTGCCGCCGAAATCCCTAGAAAATAAATGCTTCAAATTTTAGTATATTATGCCATTTTTCTAATGATAGTGCTCGAGGGTACAACACTCCTCCAATGTTATTTTTTGCGCAAAAAAAATGTACTCATAATGAATTTACACTAGTAACGTGACAACTAAATCGAAATATAATGGAGATAGTACTAGTAATTATAATTTGTACCATCAATCTAGCATAATGCAAACACAAATGTATTATCGCAAGTACATATTTATATAATTAGGATTTAGTAAATGTACAAATGTATGGTACGTAGTACTCAGTACGTACCTGACATTCCGGCGCCGACAATAATGACGGAGGGGGATGAAGATAAAGCATAAGCCGAGGCTAACAAAAAGGGGAAGAGGAAGAAATGCTTGAGCATGATTATATTAGCTCGAGCTAACACCCTCATCTTGTGTTTTGTAAGGTGGAGTGTTAGTTGCTTGGGATTTTCAAGAATTAGCAAAGGAAATTACTCTAATTATAGGGGTCAATTAAGGCCTAAAGTTGTGCTTAGTAATATTATATTTGCTCGAGATTCACGAAAGTATTCTTCGAGTAGTCAATATTTATACATGTAATTAACAAGTGGTTTGTCCTAGAAAAAGATAATCAAATAATACTCCGTCCGCTGATGGAAGCATTACATTGTCTGATTATGTCCACTCCTACATAATTAACGCATATGTTTTTTTATTATTATTATTATTATTATTATTATTATTATTATTATTATTATTATTATTATTATTATTAAAACAACGAAAACCTACAAAGTCATCTGAATTACAAGAAATTAGTGGAAAGTCGAGATACAATCAGGGCCCCCGCCTCTCTAGCTATAGCGAACGGCTGAAGATGTGAGCAGCTGCTCGAGCACCTATATCCTGAGTCCTAGCAAACGCCTGAACCCGCCCCATATTTGTCCCGCTTCAGCTGAGCAACAACCGACACAACACGACCAGCAACAAAGTCAGACAACTTAGATTGTGTTAAAGGAGAATACCCCTTCAAGTCAACACACACATCAAGCTAACGAGTACATTAAAAAGGTGTCAAACAAAGCTTATGTTCCATGTGACACTCTATTCTCATGTCATAGCTCAATTTCCATGTCATCGATCTACTCAATTAACAAAATAATCATTGTCATTATTAGGTATATTAAACACGTGATCGCTTGAAATTAAAGGAAAGTGGAAACTGTACCACCAATCTATATCTATACTTATATATTAAAAAGCATTTCTAAAACAGAATATATATATATGCTACGTGTCACCTTTTTTAAGCACTATAAACATGACATGTCAGTTATATGTGCCATGTATGATTAATTTAATAGCAAAATCTTAATCCTTTTTTATTAATTAATTTAACTTTTAAGTAATTTAATTATTATTTATGATTATTACTTTTTTTTTTTGAAGTCTATTTTTGATTATTACTTATTTAGCACTTGATTTTTTTTTCTATAAAATAATTAAATTAAAATCTCTTTGCTTATAATTTGTTAGACAATAAAATCTCTAATATCAAAAGATAAATTTTATATTTGAAATTTATTTAAACTCTCATTTCTCGTTCGTTGCAATTGAATTTTTTTTCATTCTAAATTAATTTTAACATTCTTTTTCCATTATTTGGTCAAAATGTATAGGCACTGAGCTCAAAACTTCTCAAAAAAAATGCCTTTTGTATATGTAGTACTTCGTATATTATAATTAATTATTAATTACTAATTAGTAATATAAATTATTATTATTACTACTACTACTTTTATTAGCATTATTATATTCAGATTGTGCGTTCATACACGAGCTGTCATTATGTAAAACAATAAATACAGAATAATGTTATTTTGAGTTAATATTAGATGGTGGGAAACATGTTTGACAATTTTAGTTTTAGATCACCATGACTGCTGGTAAATTAACTTCTTGTTTTTTTTACCTTATTTTTGCTAAATTGAAGCTATTTTTCAATAAGAAAAACTTATTTTTAGTGACTCTCTATAGGGGATGGTCAAAAATTGGTTCGGACCGGAAAAATGGACCGGACCTGACCAGATCGAATTAACCAATCCGGTCTCCGGGTTGAAAAATTTGTTTTCTTGGTCTTCGGTCCGACCCGGTCCAAAACCCTATATAAACTGGTCTTGGATCGAACCGATTTTTTGCTTAAAATTATGCATAAAATCTTAAATAATGATTAAAAATTATCCTTAATAAGATTAGAAAACTTTAATTGTATGAGCTTTTTTGTACTAAACATACATAAAAAGATGTTAAAATATTGTTTTCCCTTTATTCTTTTTGAGTTTTCCATAAAATTATTGAAAACTTAGAATTTTTTTCTTAAAAAATTTGAAAATTGGTCCAAAGCGGTCCAGTCCAGGTTCGATCCTACCTTAATCGGTCCGGTTTTCGGTTCTTGAAATTCAAAACTTCGGTCTTCAGTTCGAGTTGGTCCGATTCGGTCTTCGACCGATGAACAACCCATTCCCTATTATATTTCTTCTTTAAAATTATTGATATTTAATGAATTAAACTTATTTTTATTGAAATTAACTTTTACTACTGAACTTGTGCATTATATTAAACTAGGTTAAGTCTCGTGCCATGCACGATTATAATTAAATTTTACAACAAATAAATTATAAATAATGGTGTTAATTCAGCAATAATTTGTCTAAAAAAATTATGTAACAAAATAAATTGAATTTTAGTTTATACCAATACCACATACGTAAAGGTTATTGAATTGGATTGTATAAAAAAATAATGTAAAAATTTAGAAGCTATAAGGTTTTATGTAAGAAAATTAAAATATTAGCTTAGATTAGTACCCATATACGAACTCATATACATTTATCCTTAAATTGTTGACACACTTTGACCGGCATAATATGAAAATTTAGTTGATTTTATTTTAGAATATTTAGTATTCCGTAATCAATTTTTTAAATATATTTTTAGTGAATAGTAGGGGTTTTGATTTTTTAAATAAACACATTAGTATTTGGAGTAATTAGATTAAATTTTCCAATATATGTTATGTATACTATAATAAAATGATTTTGTTCTTATAAACGTTACGTTTCTTTTTTTAATTAAAATAAATTATATTGTCAAATGATAAAAGTTGGAGGAAAAAAAATTGATATTGATAATATTATAATAATCTTGGAAAATAATATATTACAATATCTTATTTTCAATCTATGTTAGTATTTTTGTAACTTCCTAGTATATAAAATATATGTAAAAAAAAAAAAATGAGTATAATTGGATTAAATATGTTGTCAAAATGGAAATAACTATTATTGTAGGTTAAAAAATGAATGTCATTAAAATATTGCAAAAAAAAAAGGTGGGAAAATTATTAACCAGAAAATGACAAGTGTCATTCCAAGTTTCGCCTTTAGTATATAATTATTTTTTATTTTTCTCCTGTTTTCTATTGCACACACCTACTGAGCAATCAAAGATAAAATAAACAAAGGGTCAAATGGTACCAAATGTGTAAAGGCATAAACAAAAGACACGCCATATACAACTTTGGCAAACTTTTTAAAATCTCTCATGAGTAGATTTGAATGAGTGTGTTTTCATTATATTAGTTTAATCATTTGCTGTTATCAATTCTACCAAGGCTAAAATTTTTTTTTGGCACTAAATCACTGATGCAAAAATGTGACTCAGTAACCTTTTAAGAGTCCTAAGATCGCTCCTAACCTATATTAAGACTTTGTCATATAGTTGATTACGCAATTTTGAAGTGAATAATATGTTTATATGTGTATATTTAGCAAATATGTCACCATAGTGCTATATGACTAATCCAGCTTCGTATACGCAATCGAATCAAAATTCCCTAAAAAATCTTTGAATCGAACCCCTTTGACCAAAACAGAAAAAATCATGCCAAAAATTGATGAAAGAATTTAAACAAGGAATGAATTATGTCCAATGTATTTAGCTGATTAATAATGTGGCCCAAAACCATGTATTAATTAAACTAGTATGGAAATTAAAAATAAAATAAAATAAAAAATAAAAAAATCCCCTAGTCCACACCCATGCTATACTTTTTTTTTAAAAAAAATGTATATTTCTTTGATTTGTTTCAATTTTTCATTGATCGATCATAAATATAAAAATAAAGTATTCGTACGTAGAAACTAGAAAGAACCTATAAATTATCTCCAAATAGATTTTGATTTGGAATCTGCAGAATTCAAAATTGTGACTCAATAATATAACCTCATAACGTTTAGAAAGACTATGCAATAGTTGGTTACGCGATTTTGAGATGATGTATAAGAACAATTATTGTGTATATCTAACAACTTTAACAAATTATTCGTATATATCCTTAGTCCCATATGATTTACCAAGTTCATATAAGCACTCGAATCGAAACCATAATTCTCTGATACCGGAATCGAAATAGAAGGAAATCATGCGCCAAAAAAAAAGGGGTTTGAACAAGGAATGAATGACCTTAAGTACTTTGTATATGTTTAATTAATAATCTATCTAACCAGAGTAATGTTTTATGCTAATATTGTGATGAAATAAGCATTAACTACTCAAGTAATTTGCACCAAAAATAAATACTTCCTATTTTATTTTTTTTTATTCCTTACAATACTTTTTTTCATGCTTGCAGATGCATTATTTTAATTGCTAATATCTTTAATTACCAATATATAAAAATTGTATACATTTGATATCAAAATAGTATAAATCGAGAGAACCTAACGATTCCAAATGACTACTCGTATAGTCGTATATTTTTGTTAAGCTATAAGTCATTAAAGCTAGCTTAACCAAAGTAAAGCAATGAATAGTACGTATAAAAGTCAAATTATTATATATATTGCAAGTATAAATTGGCACCTTACCAAGAAAAAGTTCGCCATATATTCATTGCATCCGACACTTCTGCAATTCTACTAAGTTGTACTTGTATTGTATTAAATCTGTTTGGTAAAAAAATAATAATATTTCAAAGAAAAAAATAATAATCATCATAAATATAATTGTATTGTAATAAAAATTACAAAATCAAATCAAGTTTTTTTTGTTGAAAAATGTATCAACTAGTACGTGAACATGTTTTGTCTTAAATTATTTATTTTGAACTTATTTGATGTTGTCTAAAATTATTTAAACTTAATTTAATATGATTTTATAGTATTAATTATTTAAACTTATCTTAACTGTTAGTTTAGATGAACTACCACGAGAGGGGGGGTGGATTGTAGTAGGTTATGTTTGGGGTAAAAATACCCTTGACAAATGGACCTATGTTAATGCAACATGTGTCCCTAAGCTCAGCGCTCTATGAGCCAATTAGAGCATGACATGTGTCATTCAAAGGGGAAAACGGGCTTTAAGCCCATAACCCTAGAAACTGTAAAACGGTGGAAGCCCATCAACTAGGTTAAATAACCTAAGAGGCACCTCTCCCAAAAAACTCTATAAATACTGATCATTTACATTAGTTGAGGAGGGATTCAATTATTG